AGTCAAAAAATCACGTCCTCCATTTGCAGATTGCACTTTCTCTCTGAACTTTGTCACAACGCCTGCTTTTTTCCCGATCATTGAGGGCGCACCATCTGTAGCCAGGCTGACAGCGCGGGACCAGTCCACTCCGACCCTGTCCAGCGCGCCGACGAGTGCGGTAAAAATATCAGCTGCTGTCGTTGTATCTGTCATCGGCACCAACTCGACAAACTCCTCGGTGACGGTCAATGTGTCATCAACTCCGCGGATGAAAATGGCCAGTTGTGCAACATCTGTAATGTCCGTGCTTTCATCAATTGCAACCGAAAACGCAATAAATGACTTTACTTTTTCCTTCAACTGAAAGATCGGAAATCCTGTCTGCAACTGTGTTTCTTGTCAGGCTGATATTTGCAAAAGCCTGCCGCTTTTCAGGGCACACAATCTCCGCTGCCTTCATTATGCATGTTTTTACAAATTCACCCTCACTAAATGGTTTTGAAGCCACTGCGATTTCATTAGCAATGAGGTAGCTAGCTTTCACTGCAGCGTCACTGATGTCTCGGCTGTGAGTAAACACAGACTGCTGTTTCTTCAGACCCGCCAACAGTTCATTCACCTTCTCTCATCTCCGCTGTCCTTGAAAGTTGTCATATTTGTCGGCATGAAGACTCACATAGTGGCGACGAAGGTTATATTCTTTCAGCACTGCAACATGCTCTGAACACACCAAACATACAGCTTTCCCATTCAATTCCGTGAATAAATAGGATGACAATTTTTCTTGGAACACTCTGCACTCTGCGTCCACTTTTCTCTTTTTTGACAGAGACATATTGGGGCAATGAGGGTGCCAAAGCACATAATGTTAAAAGTAGAAGCCGTAATAAATATCGCGGGCAAAACAAAGTAGCTCATTGGCTGCACGTGCTTGACCTACTTGCTCTGCCCCGGTATAAACAGTTTGCTTGCTTAACACAATTGCTATTGCGCCATCCAGTGGACGCAATTGGAACAGCAGTTTATTTTATTGAAAAATTGCAGCGCATTTTTATACTTTACACACAAAAAAATAAAAATAAAATATATATATATATATATATATATATATTTATTTTATTTTTTTTCGAAATCATCTCGCGGGCCGGATTAAACCCGTTTGCGGGCCTGATCCGGCCCGCGGGCCGGACGTTTGACACCCCTGCTGTAGATAGTCTTTCCTCGGCCCATTCCCACTTTCTTCCATTTACCCCTCCCCTCCCCTCCCCTCCTCTCTCCACTACCTAGCTCTTCTCTGCAGAATATCTGTGTAGTCTTTGTGGTGTTGTTTTCCTTCACCACTCCTTGTCCAGCTATGTGGTGACAGAACTGATGCAGAGTGACCTCCATAAGATCATCGTGTCACCTCAGCCCCTCAGCTCAGACCACGTCAAAGTATTTCTCTATCAGATCCTCCGAGGTAAGACCTCTCCGGCACGCACACACACACTCAGATCACATTACAAACATTAAAACGTGATTTTCACACAAATATCAGTTTGAATCGTCATTGATAAAAAACGGGGTGGAACCTTCGCACAAGAAACTGTTTGAAAACCATTAAACTGAATCCTTCCTGGCATGTGTTTTGTCTGTAGGACTGAAGTACCTGCACTCAGCTGGCATCCTACATCGAGACATCAAACCTGGCAACCTCCTGGTCAACAGTAACTGTGTGCTTAAGGTTGGTATACTGTCCTCTACCATCTAACATATCCATCCTCCTGTGATGAAACATGTATTACTCTACTGAGATGTACAGTGTTATATTTATGAGGTCAAGTCGGGGTTGGAGTCTGCTCTGTGGAAGTACAGTATCTGAAATACACACACACACACTCCTGACTCCTGCCCTCACTGGCTGTCTGGCGCCATGAGTCTCTGCAGCCTGTGTTACCGGGGATCTGACGCCCCAGTGGGATTTCTACAGTACATGATGCTGGGCTCCTGACATATAAATCTTAATCCTGGGGCCTGGTAATGGAGGCCCTGCCTGGGTTTATGCTACCCTTAGCTCTCCCTCCTCCCCCCACAGACACTGGAGGGGTGTTAGTCCATGGGTGGGAGAGAGGGGAGAAAGAAAGGGAGGAGGGAGTGGGTGGAGGACAGAGTGATTCAATGTGTTCTATGGCTGACTCTGGAGAAATGATTGTCTCTAGCAGACATTTACTACATTTAGCTCCTAATTCTCAGTTCCCAAACGGGAAACCCTCCCCCACACATTCTGGGCTATTTTCAGACCAACCCATCCTGCCTGCCTCTGTGATGCTCCCTGCCTGCCTCTGTGATGCTCCCTGTCTGCCTTTGTGATCAAATCAAATCAAATGTTATTGGTCACATACACATTTAGCAGATGTTATTGCGGGTGTAGCGAAATGCTTGTGTTCCTAGCTCCAACAGTGCAGTAGTATCTAACAATTCACAACGATACACAAATCTAAAAGTAAAATAATGGAATAAATAAATATATAAGGATTAGGACGAGCCATGTCGGAGTGGCATTGACTAAAATACAGTAGAATAGAATACAGTATATACATATGAGATGAGTAAAGCAGTATGTAAACATTATTAAAGTGACTAGTGTTCCACTATTAAAGTGGCCAGTGATTCCATGTCTATGTATATAGGGCAGCAGCCTCTAAGGTGCAGGGTTGAGTAGCCAGGTGGGAGCCGGCAAGTGATGGCTATTTAACAGTCTGATGGCCTTGAGATAGAAGCTGTTTTTCAGTCTCTCGGTCCCTGCTTTGATGCACCTGTACTGACCTTGCCTTTTGGATGATAGCAGGCCGTGGCTCGGGTGGTTGATATCCTTGATGACATAGGATGTCCTTCCTATGACATAGGGTGCTGTAGGTGTCCTGGAGTGCAGGCAGTATGCCCCGGTGATGCATTGGGCAGACCGTACCACCCTCAGGAGAGCCCTGCGGTTGCGGGCGGTACAGTTGCCGTACCAGGTGGTGATACAGCCCGACAGGATGATCTCAATTGTGCATCTGTAAAGGTTTCTGAGGGTCTTAGGGGCCAAGCCGACTTTCTTCAGCCTCCTGAGGTTGAAGAGGCGCTCTTGCGCCTTCTTCACCACACTGTCTGTGTGGGTGGACCATTTCAGATCGTCAGTGATGTGTATGCCGAGGAACTTGAAGCTTACCACCTTCTCTACTACGGTCCCATCTATGTGGATAGGGGCATGCTCCCGCTGCTGTTTCCTGAAGTCCACGATCAGCTCCTTCGTTTTGTTGACGTTGAGGGAGAGGTTATTTTCCTGGCACCACTCCGCCAGGGCCTACTACTGTTGTACTTAATGATGAGCTTGGAGGGTACTATGGTGTTGAAGGCTGAGCTATAGTCAATGAACAGCATTCTGACGTAGATATTCCTCTTGTCCAGATGGGATAGGGCAGTGTGCAGTGTGATGGCGATTGCATCATCTGTGGATCTATTGGGGCGGTAAGTAAATTGAAGTGGGTCTAGGGTGTCAGGTAAGGTAGAGGTGATATGATCCTTAACTAGCCTCTCAAAGCACTTCATGATGACAGAAGTGAGTGCTACAGGGCGATAGTCATTTAGTTCAGTTATGTCACGCCCTGGCTCTGGGACTCTGTTATGTTGAGCCAGGGTGTGTAGTTTCTATGTGTTTGTGTTCTGTGTTTAAGTTCTAGTTCATGTGTATCTATGTTGGCCGGGGTGGTTCTCAATCAGAGGCAACGTGAATCAGCTGTTGCTTGTTGTCTCTGATTGGGAACCATACTTAGGCAGCCGTTTGGCAGTAGTGTATTGTGGGATCTTGTTCCGTGTTGGTTTGTGTAGGTAACCAAGGACTTCACGTTATCGTTTTGTTGTTTTGTTTCGTGTGGTGAAATAAATAAAGTATGTTCACTTATCGCGCTGCGCATTGGTCCACTTCCTTCAGCGATCGTGACAGAAGATCCCACCAATACAGGACCAAGCAGCGTGCCCAGGAGCAGACAGCCTGGACGTGGGAGCAGATATTGGACGGGCAGGGGTCCTGGTCTTGGGAGGAAATCCAGGCCGGGATGGATCGCCGTCCGTGGGAGGAGACGGTGGAGGCGCGCCGGAGAGAGGAGCAGCGGGTTACGGGAGCCATTGGTGAGAAGAGGGAAGGAAAGTGTAGAGGCACGGCGAGAGGTACTGAGGTGTGTTGCCAGTCCGGTCCGGCCCGTTCCTGATCCCTGTGTAAGGCCAGTGGTGTGTGTTCCCAGTGCAGTCCGGCCTGTTCCTGTCCCTCGCACCAAGCCTGTGTTGCGCGTCGCCAGCCCGGCCCGGCCTGTTCCTGCTCCCCGCACCAAGCCAATGGTGGGCGTCGCCAGCCCGGTCCGGCCCATTCCTGCTCCCCGCACCAAGCATGTGGTGCGCATCGTCAGCCCGGTCCGGCCCGTTCCAGCTCCCCGCACCAAGCCAGGGGTGCGCGTCGTCAGTCTGGTCCGGCCCGTTCCTGCTCCCCGCACCAAGCCTGTGGTGCGCTTCGTCAGCCCGGTTCGGCCCGTCCCTGCTCCCCGCACCAAGCCTGTGGTGCGCGTCGTCAGCCCGGTCCGGCCCGTTCCTGCTCCCCGCACTAAGCCTGTGGTGCGCGTCGTCAGTCTGGCACAGCCCGTGCCTGGGTCACCGGTGCCTGGTCAGGTACCGGTCAGCTGCTCCACATCGGAGCCTAAGCAATCCGCTCCACCGATGTCCAGTCCAGCTCCAGCCTGCGGGGCCAGACCGGACCAGGGGCGCTATGGGGGGATTGTTGGAGGGTGGTGGTCAAGCCCGGAGCCGGAACCGCCTCCGAGGACGAATGCCCACCCGGCCCTCCCCTGTTCGGTTTATGTTTGGCGCGGTCGCAGTCCGCGCCTTTGGGGGGGGGTACTGTCACGCCCTGGCTCTGGGACTCTGTTATGTTGAGCCAGGGTGTGTAGTTTCTATGTGTTTGTGTTCTGTGTTTAAGTTCTAGTTCATGTGTATCTATGTTGGCCGGGGTGGTTCTCAATCAGAGGCAACGTGAATCAGCTGTTGCTTGTTGTCTCTGATTGGGAACCATACTTAGGCAGCCGTTTGGCAGTAGTGTATTGTGGGATCTTGTTCCGTGTTGGTTTGTGTAGGTAACCAAGGACTTCACGTTATCGTTTTGTTGTTTTGTTTCGTGTGGTGAAATAAATAAAGTATGTTCACTTATCGCGCTGCGCATTGGTCCACTTCCTTCAGCGATCGTGACAAGTTACCTTTGCTTTCTTGGGTACAGGAACAATGGTGGACATCTTGAAGCAAGTGGGGACAGCAGACTGGGATAGGGAGAGATTGAATATGTCCGTAAACACTCCAGCCAGCTGGTCTGCACATGCTCTGAGGACGCGGCTAGGGATGCCGTCTGGGCCGGCAGCCTTGCGAGGGTTAACACGCTTAAATGACTGACTCACGTCGGCCACGGAGAAGGAGAGCCCACAGTCCTTGGGAGCGGGCCGTGTCGGTGGCACTGTGTTATTCTCAAAACGGGCGAAGAAGGTGTTTAGCTTGTCTGGGAGCAAGACACCGGTGTCCGCAACGTGGGTGGTTTTCCCTTTGTAATCCATGATTGTCTGTAGAACCTGCCACATACAGGGAGGGAAAAAAGTATTTGATCCCCTGCTGATTTTGTACATTTGCCCACTGACAAAGAAATGATCAGTCTATAATTTTAATGGTAGGTTTATTTGAACAGTGAGAGACAGAATAACAACAACAAAAAATCCAGAAAAACGCATTTCAAAAATGTTATAAATTGATTTGCATTTTAATGAGGGAAATAAGTATTTGACCCCCTCTCAATCAGAAAGTTTTCTGGCTCCCAGGTGACTTTTATTCAGGTAACGAGCTGAGATTAGGAGCACACTCTTAAAGGGAGTGCTCCTAATCTCAGTTTGATACCTGTATAAAATACACCTGTCCACAGAAGCAATCAATCAATCAGATTCCAAACTCTCCACCATGGCCAAGACCAAAGAGCTCTCCAAGGATGTCAGGGACAAGATTGTAGACCTACACAAGGCTGGAATGGGCTACAAGACCATCGCCAAGCAGCTTGGTGAGAAGGTGACAACAGTTGGTGCAATTATTCGCAAATGGAAGAAATAAAAAAAAACTGTCAATCTCCCTCGGCCTGGGGCTCCATGCAAGATCTCACCTCGTGGAGTTGCAATGATCATGAGAACGGTGAGGAATCAGCCCAGAACTACACGGGAGGATCTTGTCAATGATCTCAAGGCAGCTGGGACCATAGTCACCAAGAAAACAATTGGTAACACACTACGCCGTGAAGTACTGAAATCCTGCAGTGCCCGCAAAGTCCCCCTGCTCAAGAAAGCACATATACAGGGCCATCTGAAGTTTGCCAATGAACATCTGAATGATTCAGAGGAGAACTGGGTGAAAGTGTTGTGGTCAGATGAGACCAAAATCGAGCTCTTTGGCATCAACTCAACTCACCGTGTTTGGAGGAGGAGGAGGAATGCTGCCTATGACCCCAAGAACACCATCCTCACGTCAAACATGGAGGTGGAAACACTATGCTTTGGGGGTGTTTTTCTGCTAAGGGGACAGGACAACTTCACCGCATCAAAGGGACGATGGACGGGGCCATGTACCGTCAAATCTTGGGTGAGAACCTCCTTCCCTCAGCCAGGGCATTGAAAATGGGTCGTGGATGGGTATTCCAGCATGACAATGACCCAAAACACACGGCCAAGGCAACAAAGGAGTGGCTCAAGAACAGGCACATGAAGGTCCTGGAGGGGCCTAGCCAGTCTCCAGACCTTAATCCCATAGAAAATCTGTGGAGGGAGCTGAAGGTTCGAGTTGCCAAATGTCAGCCTCGAAACCTTAATGACTTGGAGAAGATCTGCAAAGAGGAGTGGAACAAAATCCCTCCTGAGATGTGTGCGAACCTGGTGGCCAACTACAGGAAACGTCTGACCTCTGTGATTGCCAACAAGGGTTTTGCCACCAAGTACTAAGTCATGTTTTGCAGAGGGGTCAAATACTTATTTCCCTCATTAAAATGCAAATCAATTCATAATATTTTTGACATGCGTTTTTCTGGATGTTTTTGTTGTTATTCTGTCTCTCACTGTTCAAATAAACCTACCATTAAAATTATAGACTGATCATGTCTTTGTCAGTGGGCAAACGTACAAAATCAGCAGGGGATCAAATACTTTTTTCCCTCACTGTACTTCTGGTGTCTGAGCCGTTGAATTGCGACTCCACTTTGTCTCTGTACTGACGTTTTGCCTGTGCTGTCTGCCCATGATATCGCTGTGTTCCTTCTCTTCCAAGTCTGACATTATTTTAGAGCGAGGCACTCCTCATTTAATTTCTGATGATGAACATAATGATAATGATGAACATCCCCTTCCAAAAATCTCCTCCCTCAGCAGCATCAGCTACTCAAGCAGTTCGATTCAGTTGTGTACAAGCTGATGGGGAGTAATCGTCTGCAGTAATGTGACAAGGCCCGTAGCGGTGCAACACTATGTGGCTCCTCAATCCTTCACTTCCTGTCATTTTGTCCAGAATTTATATTTAGCTAACATAGCAAAGAGAAGAAATTTAAAAAATCGTCTGTTATTTAGCACATAGCTGTGCTGTCCTAACCTTTCTTTGGACTGGGTGAGGGTGGGAGGGGAGACCGAGGTGGAAGTGTGTCCCTGTAGGGACACCGTAGAAAAGGTTGATGATCAACTTCAGTCAGTGTTTTCATTGGAAAATGTAATTAGTGACGCACCATGCATTTCTGAAATAGCTGCTCATCCCTTGAAGACCTTGGGGAAGTGAGATATGAGGCAACAAAGATTTTTGGAGCAGCTCGTTAGTCCGTTTATGAACGATCCAAGTATTCCATTATTTTCTGTCTTTAGACGTATCAGACAATGTTCTCATTCAGTTATATAACAATTGACTCCGACCAGTCACAGTAAGCTACCACATAATACATAGTGTATCTTGCAAGAAGCTGCATGCATCTAAACCTTGGGTTAGGTTGGGTTTGGAGGACTAATCTATTTGTGTATTGGTATTGATGGATGTATTAATGTGAACATGTTCTCCCCCTTCATCCCTCTCCAGATCTGTGACTTTGGGCTGGCACGGGTGGAGGAGCTGGACGAGTCTCGTCACATGACTCAGGAGGTGGTGACCCAGTATTACCGCGCACCAGAGATCCTCATGGGCAGCCACCATTACTCCAACGCCATCGACATCTGGTCTGTAGGATGCATCTTCGCCGAGCTACTGGGCCGACGCATCCTGTTCCAGGCCCAAAGCCCCATCCAGCAGGTAACCAATACTGTAAACACCGAGAACATGTAGATCTGACATGGAATACTTGCTGATCTAATATTCAGTGCACAGCATTTTCTGGCTTATTTTATAAGAAAACAATTGTATTGGCTATCCTTGGTTGTGTTTGTTAGTCTGTAGGCTTCAATGAGGTGTGTTTTTTCAGCTTGGTCAGAGCTTTCAGAGATAAAGTCTGTATTTGAAAACAGGACAGAGCTTCCTTGACCCCTTAGTATCCATGTCTCTCCAGACCTTGGGCTGCGGTCCTGTCTCCTTTACCTCGCTTTCAGAGATGACCTGTTGAGTTAGCTGGGGAGGGAGGAATGCAGTCTTATGTCTCAGTACACACCACTCCTTTTCACTTCTGATATGGACACAAATAGCTCATGTCTAAAATGACGTGTTCACAGATACTGTATGTTCACAATGGACTGCAAAATTGCATTCTGGAGCAATAAGTCAATACACAGTATAGCCCCCTGGAGTCCTTAACTTGGCCTGCCTCTCTCAACTCCCTCGCCTTTACTGCATATGTGCCATAGCGTGTGTGTGAGTGTGTGTGTGTGTGTGTGCGGGTATCTGTGTGATCGTTCGTGCATGCGTGTCTCAAGTACAGTAACATATGCTGCATGATGTTCTTCTGTGTGTGTTCTGTGATGTAGCTGGATCTGATCACGGACCTGCTGGGGACTCCCTCTCTGGAGGCCATGAGGACAGCGTGTGAGGGGGCCAGGGCCCACATCCTCAGAGGACCACACAAACAGGTAGGGACATGGATGAGCAGTGTGTGTACTCTGGAGCAGGACAGCGCATGAGTCTCCTGAGCAAGGTTTTCATAAGTCCTACAAATCAATTATGCATTCGGTAATCATGGCTGGATGGGAATATGTCTCTGTGGACAGAATGAGTTTGGTCAGGGGTCCATGTGTAAGATTTGCTTCCACACATGGTTACAGGAGTCAGACACATCAGTGATGAGTGGTCCTCTTGGACAGCAAGATGGTGTTTTAGTGTTGTTGACTTTTGAGCCATTGAGCCAGAAGGGATCCTATTTCCTGCCACCAGTGCAGTCCCAGGATACATTGTGCGATCGTGGGGGTGAGGTGGGAGACAGGGGGGCTTGAGGGTGGTCTGAAAACATTTATGATGCTCGCAGAAATGCAGTAGTAGGAAATACACATCTGGGGGTAATCTTATTCATTGAATCAGATGGCTCATTCATCACAAAACCGACTGATGTTGCCAACTACTTTAATGATTTTTTCATTGGCAAGATTATCAAACTTAGGCATGACGTGCTAGCAACAAACTCTGACACTACACATCCAAGTTTATCTGACCAAATTATGAAAGACAAGTATTGTAATTTTGAATTCCGTAAAGTGAGTGTGGAAGAGGTGAAAAAATGATTGTTGTCTATCAACAATGACAAGCCACCGGGGTCTGACAACTTGGATGGAGAAGGATGAGGATAATAGCGGATGATATTGCCACTCCTATTTGCCATATTTTCAATTTAAGCCTACTAGAAAGTGTGTGTCCCCAGGCTTGGAGGGAAGCAAAAGTTATTCCGTTACCTAAGAATAGTAAAGCCCCCTTTACTGGCTCAAATAGCCGACCAATCAGCCTGTTACCAACCCTTTGTAAACTTTTGGAAATAATTGTGTTTGACCAGATACAATGCTATTTTACAGTAAACAAATTGACAACAGACCTTCAGCACGCTTCTAGGGAAGGACATTCAACAAGCACAGCACTTACACAAATGACTGATGATTGTCTGAGAGAAATTGATGATAAAAGGATTGTGGGGGCTGTTTTGTTAGACTTCAGTGCGGATTTTGACATTATCAATCATAGTCTGCCGCTGTAAAAATGTATGTGTTATGGCTCTATAGCCCTCCTATATTGTGGATAAACAGTTACCTGTCTAACAGAACACAGAGGGTGTTCTTTAATGGAAGCCTCTCCAAGAAAATCCAGGTAGAATCAGGAATTCCCCAGGGCAGCTGTCTAGGCCCATTACTTTTTTCAATCTTTACTAATGACATGCCACTGTCTTTGAGTAAGGCCAGTGTGTCTATGTATGCGGATGACTCAACACTATACACGTCAGCTACTACAGCGACTGAAATGACTGCAACACTTAACAAAGAGCTGCAGTTAGTTTCAGAGTGTGTGGCAAGGAATAAGTTAGTCCTAAATATTTCAAAAACTAAAAGCATTGTATTTGGGACAAATCATTCACTAAACCCTAAACCTCAACTAAATCTTGTAATAAATAATGTGGAAATTGAGCAAGTTGAGGTGACTAAACTGCTTGAAGTAACCCTGGATTGTAAACTGTCATGGTCAAAACATATTGATACAACAGTAACTAAGATAGGGAGAAGTCTGTCCATAATAAAGGGCTGCTCTACCTTCTTAACAGCACTATTAACAAGGCAGGTCCTACAGGCCCTAGTTTTGTCGCACCTGGACTACTGTTCAGTCATGTGGTCAGGTGCCACAAAGAGGGACTTAGGAAAATTGCAATTGGCTCAGAACAGGGCAGCACGGCTGGCCCTTGGATGTACACAGAGAGCTAACATTAATAATATGCATGTCAATCTCGCCTGGCTCAAAGTGGAGGAGAGATTGACTTCACACTACTTGTATTTGTGAGAGGTATTGACATGTTGAATGCACCGAACTGTCTGTTTGAACTACTGGCGCACAGCTCGGCCACCCATGCATACCCCACAAGACATGCCACCAGAGGTCTCTTCACAGTCCCCAAGTCCAGAACAGACTATGGGAGGTGCACAGTACTACTACTACTACGTAACTGATGCAAGCAGTAAAATTAGATTTAAAAAACAGATACAAATACACCTTATGGAACAGCGGGGACTGTGAAGCAACACAAACATAGGCACAGACACATGCATACACACACACGATAACATACACACTATACACACACACACACTCATGGATTTTGTATTGTAGATACAGTGAGGGAAAAAAGTATTTAGTCAGCCACCAATTGTGCAAGTTCTCCCACTTAAAAAGACGAGAGAGGCCTGTAATTTTCATCATAGGTACACGTCAACTATGACAGACAAAATGATTTTTAAAAAATCCAGAAAATCACATTGTAGGATTTTTTATGAATTTATTTGCAAATTATGGTGGATAATAAGTATTTGGTCAATAACAAAAGTTTCTCAATACTTTGTTATATACCCTTTGTTGGCAATGACACAGGTCAAACGTTTTCTGTAAGTCTTCACAAGGTTTTCACACACTGTTGCTGGTATATTGGCCCATTCCTCCATGCAGATCTCCTCTAGAGCAGTGATGTTTTGGGGCTGTCGCTGGGCAACACGGACTTTCAACTCCCTCCATATACTTTCTATGGGGTTGAGATCTGGAGACTGGCTAGGCCACTCCAGGACCTTGAAATGCTTCTTACGAAGCCAATCCTTCGTTGTCCGGGCGGTCTGTTTGGGATCATTGTCATGCTGAAAGACCCAGCCACGTTTCATCTTCAATGCCCTTGCTGATGGAAGGAGGTTTTCACTCAAAATCTCACGATACATGGCCCCATTCATTCTTTCCTTTACACGGATCAGTCGTCCTGGCCCCTTTGCAGAAAAACAGCCCCAAAGCATGATGTTTCCACCCCCATGCTTCACAGTAGGTATGGTGTTCTTTGGATACAACTCAGCATTCTTTGTCCTCCAAACACGACGAGTTGAGTTTTTACCAAAAAGTTATATTTTGGTTTCATCTGACCATATGACATTCTCCCAATCCTCTTCTGGATCATCCAAATGCACTCTAGCAAACTTCAGACGGGCCTGGACATGTACTGGCTTAAGCAGGGGGACACGTCTGGCACTGCAGGATTTGAGTCCCTGGCGGCGTAGTGTGTTACTGATGGTAGGCTTTGTTACTTTGGTCCCAGCTCTCTGCAGGTCATTCACTAGGTCCCCCCGTGTGGTTCTGGGATTTTTGCTCACCGTTCTTGTGATCATTTTGACCCCGCGGGGTGAGATCTTGCGTGGAGCCCCAGATCGAGGGACATTATCAGTGGTCTTGTATGTCTTCCATTTCCTAATAATTGCTCCCACAGTTGATTTCTTCAAACCAAGCTGCTTACCTATTGCAGATTCAGTCTTCCCAGCCTGGTGCAGGTCTACAATTTTGTTTCTGGTGTCCTTTGACAGCTCTTTGGTCTTGGCCATAGTGGAGTTTGGAGTGTGACTGTTTGAGGTTGTGGACAGGTGTCTTTTATACTGATAACAAGTTCAAACAGGTGCCATTAATCAAGGTAACGAGTGGAGGACAAAGGAGCCTCTTAAAGAAGAAGTTACAGGTCTGTGAGAGCCAGAAATCTTGCTTGTTTGTAGGTGACCAAATACTTATTTTCCACCATAATTTGCAAATTAAATTCATTAAAAATCCTACAATGTGATTTTCTGGATTTTTTTCCCTCAATGTTTCTGTCATAGTTGACGTGTACCTATGATGAAAATTACAGGCCTCTCTCATCTTTTTAAGTGGGAGAACTTGCACAATTGGTGGCTGACTAAATACTTTTTTTCCCCACTGTATGTGCTCGTGGTGGAGTAGGAGCCTGAGGGCACACAGTGTGTTGTGAAATCTGTGAATGTATTGTAATTTTAATTTTAATTTTTCATAAATGCCTTAATTTTGCTGGACCCCATAATAAATACAAATACAAATCTTACACCCACCCCCACCAACCATGCTGGTCCTCTACCTGCAGGATGGCTGTTCATCTTACATACCCCTCCCCTCCAACCATTAACGCTGGGAATTGCCAGGGACCTCACGATACGATATAAGCACGATACTTTTGCGCCGATACGATATGATACTGTGTTGTTCATTGGCCAATTGCTGTTCATTAGCCAATTGCATCTATCTGTGGATGGGTATTCACAAGTTGACCACATTCAGTACATAAAATGTATTTAAAAGCCTTGATCTTTAGCTGTTCCTTCAGATGCAAGTTCAAAGTTTACAAGATGCAGCCAGAGGTCAACACACACTTGAAGGTTTTTTGGAGGGTTGGGGGAGCTGCTTATTCACGTGAGAGGACAGGGTCTTTGTGAAGATAAGAGAGGTGGGGAGAATGAAGCATCACAGAGAGCCCCTGCCCTCCTCTCATCCCCCTTTCTTTTCCCTCTGTGGAGGAGGGGAAGGACCTGCGAGAGGAGGATAAGAGGGATGAAGGCACAGGAGAGAGGAGAGGAGAGGAGAGGAGAGGGAGAGAGGAGAGGGTGAGAAAATAAGGAGAGAGGAGAGGTTAACGAAGGAGCCCCAAAGCTTGGAAGAGGGGAGAAGGGGTTCCTTTTTACACAATGGGGGTCTGGGGCGTTGGAGCTTGGGAGGGAAGGAGGGAGAGAAGAGAGGAGTGAAACATGGAGGGAGGAGGAGGGCAGGCAGACCGAGTGCCGCTTGGAAGAGGGGAGAAGGTTTTCCGAGCTGCATCAGGGACCTCGTTACAGCTGCTTATTCTCACTGACGGAGAGAACGTCCACAGAGGAGTACACTCGGGCTGCTTCTCACTAACCTAATGTAGCTTCCTCTCCTCTCCCCTCCTCTCCTTCTCACTAACCTAATGTAGCTTCCTCTCCTCTCTTCTCCTCTCCTTCTCACTACTCTAATGGAGCTTCCCCCTCTCCTTTCCTTCTCACTACTCTAATGGAGCTCCCTCTCCTCTCGTGTCCTCGCTGCTTCTCACTACTGTAATGGAGCTCCCTCTCCTCTCCTTCTCACTACTCTAATGGAGCTTCCTCTCCTGTCCTCTCCTTCTCACTACTCTAATGGAGCTTCCTCTCCTGTCCTCTCCTTCTCACTACTCTAATGGAGCTTCCTCTCCTGTCCTCTCCTTCTCACTACTCTAATGGAGCTTCCTCTCCTGTCCTCTCCTTCTCACTACTCTAATGGAGCTCCCTCTCCTGTCCTCTCCTTCTCACTACTCTAATGGAGCTTCCTCTCCTGTCCTCTCCTTCTCACTACTCTAATGGAGCTTCCTCTCCTGTCCTCTCCTTCTCACTACTCTAATGGAGCTTCCTCTCCTGTCCTCTCCTTCTCACTACTGTAATGGAGCTCCCTCTCCTGTCCTCTCCTTCTCACTACTCTAATGGAGCTCCCTCTCCTGTCCTCTCCTTCTCACTACTGTAATGGAGCTCCCTCTCCTGTCCTCTCCTTCTCACTACTCTAATGGAGCTCCCTCTCCTGTCCTCTCCTTCTCACTACTCTAATGGAGCTTCCTCTCCTGTCCTCTCCTTCTCACTACTGTAATGGAGCTCCCTCTCCTGTCCTCTCCTTCTCACTACTCTAATGGAGCTCCCTCTCCTCTCCTTCTCACTACTGTAATGGAGCTTCCTCTCCTCTCCTTTCCTTCTCACTACTCTAATGGAGCTTCCACTCCTCTCCTCTCCTTCTCACTACTCTAATGGAGCTTCCTGTCATCAACTGCTCTCTTTCGTCTGTACTGGTGTGAGAGAACAGGACAGGCAAGAGCAAATTCCAGGTAGTCATCCACCATATCACTTCACCCCTACTCTGTTTTCAGAGCAAGCTGTAGATGAGGGAGAGAGGAGACGGGAAGAGGACACCACTTTAGAGTCCTGTGATGCACCCTGACTCATCCAGGAAAAGACTGCAATAACTGAGTCCAGCCATATGAGATGTTTAGTGAACTTGAGTGAATGCGGCCCTTAGATTCTTTACTAATGATTGTTCTCGTATAGTCTAATAAAATATCCATGTTTTGAGGGGAAAATAGAACACACCAGGGTGCTGGTTCTCGCTGTGCTTTCTAAATAAATCTATGTGAGGATGGCTAGTGAAATGAAAGCCATTGGTCTCAACTGTAGCCAGCATTAGGAAACTAGCCCCCACCTATCCTGCTATGGAGGCTTAGGCAGGTCAATACCCCGAGCCAAATGAGTTTAGAAATCAGATAAGGGCTTGAAAGCTGCTAAGCATCCCCTCTCTCCACACGCACTGTGTATGCACCACTCCCTCTCTTTCGCTCTCTCACACGCACGCACACACACCCCAACCACTTTGCTCTACCCTCGAACCACGGCGAAGCTAAGTGCAGCCTTTTCTGCTGAAACAGGAAGCCTCACTGCCAATCTGCTGTCACCTGAGCTGTCTGTCTCGGTAGAGAAGTTACCAGAGGCTGCTACTCGCACGCTTCACTCTGAAGCACACACCCCTTAGCCTCAGCACACACACACACAATCCAAATAAACTCGCCTTCCCCTTCCTCCAAATCTTTGGACAGAACAGTCTGACGTGGCGTTGACACGCTGGTTGTTTTGGAACCCTCGTCTCTGCCAGTTTGTTCTAGTAATTACCTGCATGTTTATCAGCCCATCCTTCACCAGTCTCACCTCCTCTTAGCTCCAAGAGGCTAGCTAGCTAGCGTTAGCAGCAATTTTGCATGAGTAAAAACATCCACTTGTCCACACCACCATATCAATCAATCAATCAATTTTATTTTATATAGCCCTTCTTACATCAGCTAATATCTCGAAGTGCTGTACAGAAACCCAGCCTAAAACCCCAAACAGCTAGTAATGCAGGTGTAGAAGCACGGTGGCTAGGAAAAACTCCCTAGAAAGGCAAAACCTAGGAAGAAACCTAGAGAGGAACCAGGCTATGAGGGGTGGCCAGTCCTCTTCTGGCTGTGCCGGGTGGAGATTATAACAGAACCATGCCAAGATGTTCAAAAATGTTCATAAGTGACAAGCATGGTCAAATAATAATCAGGAATAAATCTCAGTTGGCTTTTCATAGCCGATCATTAGAGTTTAAAACAGCAGGTCTGGGACAGGTAGGGGTTCCATAACCGCAGGCAGAACAGTTTAAACTGGAATAGCAGCAAGGCCAGGCGGACTGGGGACAGCAAGGAGTCACCACGGCCGGTAGTCCCGACGTATGGTCCTAGGGCTCAGGTCTCTCAGTTGGCTTTTCATAGCCGATCATTTAGAGTTGAAAACAGCAGGTCTGGGACAGGTAGGGGTTTCGTAGCCGCAGGCAGAACAGTTGAAACTGGAATAGCAGCAAGGCCAGGCGGACTGGGGACAGCAAGGTGTCATCATGCCCGGTAGTCCTGACGTATGGTCCTAGGGCTCAGGTTCTCAGAGAGAAAGAGAGAGCGAGAGAATTAGAGAGAGCATACTTAAATTCACACAGGACACTGGATAAGACAGGAGAAGTACTCCAGGTATAACCAACTAACCCCAGCCCCCCGACACATAAACTACTGCAGCATAAATACTGGAGGCTGAGACAGGAGCGGTCCGGAGACACTGTGGCCCCATCCGAAGAAACCCCCGGACAGGGCCAAACAGGAAGGATATAACCCCACCCACTCCGCCAAAGCACAGCCCCCGCACCACTAGAGGGATATCCCCAACCACCAACTTACAATCCTGAGACAAGGCCGAGTATAGCCCACAGAGGTCTCCACCACAGCACAAACCAAGGGGGGGGTGCCAACCCAGACAGGAAGATCACGTCAGTAACTCAACCCACTCAAGTGACGCACCCCTCCCAGGGACGGCATGAAAGAGCACCAGCAAGCCAGTGACTCAGCCCCTGCAACAGGGTTAGAGGCAGAGAACCCCAGTGGAGAGGGGAACCGGCCCGGCAGAGACAGCAAGGGCTGTTCGTTGCTCCAGCCTTTCCGTTCACCTTCACACTCCTGGGCCAGACTACACTCAATCATATGACCTACTGAAGAGATAAGTCTTCAGTAAAGACTTAAAGGTTGAGACCGAGTCTGCGTCTCTCACATGGGTAGGCAGACTGTTCCATAAAAATGGAGATCTATAGGAGAAAGCCCTGCCTCCCGCTGTTTGCTTAGAAATTCTAGGGACAATTAGGAGGCCTGCGTCTTGTGACCGTAGCGTACGTATTGGTATGTACGGCCATAAATACCCCAGGTGCAACTCTTCCTTTCACAATACCCTGTTGTACCTGGCTCTGAGGCTGTGTCCTGGGAAGGCTTTGTTATTGTCTAGCAGAGTGATGTACAACTTGTTTGTCTTGCTCTGGGCTGGGGGATGGGGGTGGAGAGAGATGGACCATGTTGGAGGGAGGTGATGGAAGAGGCAGGCAGCTCGCCCCGGCTGGCCCTGGTGTAGGGCCTCCCTCCCTGGGCAGGGCTAGGTCAGACCTGATGTTCCCTTTTATTTAAATAATAATACTAATAATTACATAAATACATTATTTGTAAAGCACATTTCATACAATGTTTTGCAGCCCAAAGTGCATGTCGAGACAGAAACAGATATTTATAGCTTAGAAGAATGTCACATGTAGGGCTGTGGCATTCATGAAACATTGACAGCCGGTGATTGTCAAGCAAATAACTGCCGGTGTTATGGTACTTTACCGTTAATTAACATAAACACATTTAGCATCTTCTGGCTTCCACGCATAGCCTACAAGCCACTGATGCAGACCTTTGGAACATCTACATTTAAAAAAGTAGAATAAATCCATTTAATATAGCCTACAACATCACAATAAATCCATTATTGTAGACAGGTCTAAAGAAACATGATATGAAGAAAATGTATTCTATTTCAGAACAGAATAGCATACTCTGACATTATGTTAGGTCCTGATCTGGCTATGCCATATGGCTGTGGGATACACTAGTACATTTAGCAGAAAATATTTGCTTAGAATTCCGTGGTGTTATTTTATATTATTTTATAGTATGGAGAATACAATTGAACAAAGCTGAATAAAATAGAAAGAATATTTTCTCCAAATGATTTCCAAGGGAGTGCGCACATGCGGCTATTCTGTGTTCAGCGGTTAACAAAGAAACAGGTCCTCCTATATGCTTAATTTAGAGTTATTTATGCAACTTTAGTTGTGATACAAACGTTAGGCTATATGTTAACATTTTTTATACATTCTAAGGCTGCATGATGTGACTCTAATGATGGTTTGAAAAAAGTTGCATGAAAGGCATGAGCTCTGCTCTGTTTCTTGTACAGGCTGCACACACTTCATCAGTCTGTCATTCACAATTTAAGCACTTGATAATATTCTCACTAGGCCTTGAATTTCCCAGTGGCATCCCCCTTGTGTGGCCGTTGTGCCCTTGGGCTGAATATAAGAATTATAATTCCCTTCTCCCGGCTGCCAATCGTCATGCTCCGAAGCACCTCTCACTCACATGGCTCTCTCAGATATCTCAGTTCGGGTCCTTCTCACAGGCATCTCAGCTACAAGTGAAGACAGACACATCGGGGACCCAATGGCGCCTGTCCTTATCGAATTCCGAGGCGCATATTGAAGACGTTAGAAGAACTGTCCACATTTACTTTTCGTCAGCCAACAAAATGAGTAGGCCTAACGAACAGCAAAAGCACTAGCCTATGTCAATCTACTATCCCCCATAGTACAAAAGTTGACCTATTCTATTGGTCAACTTCTCCTTCTGTGCGAGAAATAACTTCCAAACTGTCACGCCCTGACCTATAGAACTCTTGTTTGTTGAGTCAGGGTGTGGAAATCTATGTTATATATTCTATGTTTAGGTTCTAGTTATTCTATGTCTGGCCGGGTATGATTCCCAATCAGAGACAGCTGTCGCTCATTGTCTCTGATTGGGGATCATACTTAGGTAGCCCATTGCCTACTGTGTATTGTGGGATCTTGTTCCTGTTAGGCTGGTATGTGTATAGCCCTTTGGACTTCATGTTAGGTTGTTTATTGTTTTGTTGTATGTTTATTGAGGTAATAAACATGTACGCTTTTCACGCTGCACCTTGATCCGACCCGTTCCTCAACGATCGTGACAGAAGATCCCACCAAACGAGGACCAAGCAGCGTGGCCAGGAGCAGACATCCTGGACATGGGAGGAGATCCTGGATGGTAAGGGATCTTGGACATGGGAGGAGATCCAGGCTGGGATGGATCACCGTCCTTGGGAACGGACAGAGGAAGCCCGGGTAGGAGAGAAGCAACGGCGACACCGACGGCACCGGCCGAGGAGGAAGCCCGAGAGGCAGCCCCAATAAAAAAAATTGGGGGGGCTAAAGGGGTGGTCGGGGATCGAGAGAGAAGAGCCCCGACCACTGCACACCGGTGGTGCGTGTCGCCAGCCCGGTGCACCCCGTACCTGCTCCCCGCACCAGGCCAGTGGTGCGTGTTCCCAGTCCGTACGGCCCATACCTGCTCCTCACACCAAACCAGTGGTGCGTGTTGCCAGCCCAGTACACCCCATACCTGCTCCCCGCACCAGGGCAGTGGTGCGTGTCCCCAGTCCGGCCCGGCCCGTTCCACCGGTGCCTGGTCCAGCACCGGTCAGCTGCTCCACTCCGGAGCCAGAGCAGTCCGCTCCACCTGTGCCCAGTCCAGCTCTGGTCAGCGGCTCTAATCCGGAGTCAGAGCAGTCCGCTCCACCGGTGTCAAGTCCAGCTCCGGTCAGGGGCTCCACTCTGGAGCCAGAGCAATCCGCTCCACCGGTGCCTGATCCAGCTCCAGTCGGTTGCTCCACTCCGGAGCCAGAGCAGTCCGCTCCACCGGTGCCTAGTCCAGATCCGGTCAGCTGCTCCATTCTGGAGCCAGAGTAGTCCGCTCCACCGGTGCCTAGTCCAGCTCCGGT